GGGGGGGAAATAAAAATAAATAAAAGAAAAACGTGTATTGTGTCTGTGTTTGGAGTGACTTCTAAGAAAGGGCAGTGTTTCAACTCTGGAGAGATGATGGGGGGGAAATGGGTAATAAGAAAAACTGCCAGCAGCACAAAATGGCTGTCGTAATCCGGTTATCCCCAAGGCTCTAAAGATACCGGTCCTCTCCTTAGGAGTCTATCTTTTCTTCTTATGTCAAAACTGTCCTCTATGCACTCAGGTGGATTAAGGAGTCACACTGTAGAAAGAAATTGACAGGTACAAAAAGACCTGGGGGTGAAAAGGAAATGAAAGACGACACGGAGAGGCAGGCCAGGCACTCGAGCCGGGGACTGTGCTGGCGTCTGACAAGAAAAGAATCCATCAAGTCAACTTAATGTTGAGGGAAGAGCAGTTTCCTGCTTATTTACCACATTAATTGACTGCATATTTATTGGCAGAGCTGATTAGTAATCACATAAGTCTTTAATCTTATGAAATAGCTTTTTAAAAAGATGAAACACTCATGGGTTTGACAGGTATATTGTTCACTGATGTTCCAGCATAGTTTGTGTTGGGCTTAATAGAAGCTCCTCCAGGCTGTCCCTAAGAGAAGATTGCATCCCGGATAGGTCATGTCACGGTGCATTGTTAAAATAAAGCCCCCACTTCGAATTCACTGTTTTAACTGGGAGTCAGTTGGCTAAAATCAGCCTGTTTTAATCGTTTAATCATGGTTCAGAGGAACCTTCTTACAGTCATTGTTGGGATGTTCTGGGGATTTTTCCTTTGGGGAAAAGGGTTTATTGGAAAATTGCATGAATGGCTTTAAAATCCTTACTACAATCTGCCCAACCTTGTCTGCTGGGAGGTGGATCAAAGCTGCTGTAAAGGCTTATTAATAGGAGAGTTTGGGCTGCTCTGACAAGGCTTGGAACTACAGCACGGCCTGATTTTACTGACTGGGTAAAGCTCGTGACGTGTAAACAACGGCTCCTTTTCAGCTCATGAGAGCAAATGAAAAGTTGAGCTGGGGTGGATCACTTTCTTAATGATATGAAAGGTAGTTACAGGAGCCTATAAAATATGAAGGGAGAAACATTGTTACTTGAATTTATCCATCATCCCCTCCAATCAGCCAATCAGACGGCAGCCCCTCGATGCATTTAGGCATGTAGACATTGTCAAGATGACCTGGTAAAGTTCAAACTGAGCATCAGAATGTGGAAGAAAGGTGATTTAAATCTCAATCTCTGCCATGACATTCAGATGGTAGCATCATAATTTGGTGTAAAGAACATGAATGCATCAACAGCTCAAGCTGCTGGTGGTGTAATGGTGCGGGGAATGTTTTCTTGGCACATTTTGGCTTCCTGTAGTACAAACAGAGTATTGTTAAAACGCCACAGCCTATGGGGCGCCGTTTGTAAAGTGAAACATGCTGAAATTAACGGCAACATTTTTCCACATTTAGCTCAAAACAAGTCATTTTTTACAACATTTAGTAAAATATTTGTAACTTTTCATATTTAAAACAGAATTTTAAATGTTAAATCTAAATGTTAAATATTCAATCTAAATGTTAAATGTTAAATCTAAATATTATATTTAAATCTAAATGTTAAATGTTAAATCTAAATGTTAAATCTAAATATTATATTTAAATCTAAATGTTAAATCTAAATGTTAAATCTAAATATTATATTTAAATCTAAATGTTAAATGTTAAATCTAAATATTATATTAATCTAAATGTTAAATGTTAAATCTAAATATTATATTTAAATCTAAATGTTAAATGTTAAATCTAAATATTATATTTAAATCTAAATCTAAATGTTAAATCTAAATGCTAAATGTTAAATCTAAATGTTTAGGCTAACATGCAAATTTATTGCACGGATCAGCGGAAATACCAAAATAAAAGCTTTCCGAAAACCTCCGGTGCAAAAGTGTGCCGGTAGTGGTCAGACACGTTCTCACTCCCAAAGCGTAATAATTTTCGCTAGGTGACAAATTGTCAACATTTTATGCTTTCGGGTACCCAACACGTTCCTAAATTACGGCATCGGAAAAAGGAGAGCACATGAGAACCGTTTGGACTCAATCTACACATGTTCGTTCATTTTCTAAAAATCGATTTGGAAAACACTATTTTACGTCATTTAACTGCTAGTAAAGGTTAGGAATAAGGTTAGGTTTAGGGCTGGAACACATGGCTGAAACGTCTATTATGGCGGGACCGTCATTCCACTGGAATTCAGCCATAACCCGACCATGAGAAAGCACGTCCGGCGATTTAGCTGAAAACATCGGAAGATCCGTTTTGTCGGCCATCCAAAGGTTCAGCAGTAGTGCACTCTTAGCAGCTGCAGTCTTACTTCACAATCGCTGCAGCACATGTCCAGCAAAATCGCTGGACATGCTCGTAGGCAAGAAGTGAAGCAGCACATGGCGGGGAGAAGTGAGGAGGAGAACAGACACAATTTTGCACCGGAGGTTTTCGGGAAGCTTTTATTTTGGTATTTCCGTTGATCCGTACAATAAATTTGCATATTAGCCTAAATATTTAGGTTTAACATTTAACATTTAGCATTTAGATTTAACATTTAACATTTAGATTTAACATTTAACATTTAGATTTAAATATAATATTTAGATTTAACATTTAACATTTAGATTTAACTTTAACATTTAGATTTAACTTTTAACATTTAGATTTAACTTTTAACATTTAGATTTAAATATAACATTTAGATTTAACATTTAACATTTAGATTTAACATTTAAC